TCCTTTCTTTATATTTTTGCCAATTCTATGCCAATACACAAGTCTAGACCTCTATACACCCGTTGGCGTTCTTTAATTTAATCGAGCATTTACTTAAGAATTTTCCATATAAATCATGCTATTTTTCTTTAAAAGTCGCGGGCATACCCTTAGGGACTCAAGGTATTTTTCAACCATTTGTCAAAGCATTTCACTTCTTAACTCATCCATTGGTATATTAAAATGTAACAAATATATACCCCTAAACATCCTATAGTTCGAAGCATAGAGCAAGTATTTGTAGGATTTTTTTTCCAACTTACATCTTTGCTAATTCATCATTTTTTCTACTCTTTACAACACCTCACCTTCCAAATACATAACTAACAATTTTGCACATCATCCTCTATAAACCCTCTCATTGCCGAACAACAAGGGACCAAACACAAGGGGATTTTTTTTTTCTTTTATTTACACATGCAACATGCTTGCTTTTTTTTTACTACACTTCCTATACACAACCAAGCCATAATCACCTTCAAGTTTATACTACTTTATTTTCTACCCAACCATACCCATGCTTTTTAACACCATTTTCACAATAAAATAATCATAGGATTAGAGTTTAATTACCTCTAATCACTTATTCAAGACCTAGAAGACTTCCATCAAGAGAATCTCCTTCAAAAGCTTCCTTTTGCCTCCTTGATGAATAGTGTACGAATTAGGGAAAAGAGAATAACTCTTCACACACTCAACAATAGCTCACATTGATGGTTGGAATAGCTTCATTGGGTAGTTTACCATAGATTTCATGTAGTGGGTTATGAGATTTGGTTGGATATTGCAAGAGAAATCAAAGAAAACCAAAGCAAAACCCTAAGCCCCTTTCCAAGTGAGAGCGGCCACTGGACGACGGAAAAGAACGAAGGAAAACGCGTAGGAAAGAGAAATTTAAAGGGGTTACGGTTTTTTTTTTAAAGTTAACTTATTTTAACTGGGTAAAGATTTATCTATCTACACACCTCCATTCATTACCAAACTTTACCTAATGGACTAGAATATTTTTTTGCTCATATTTATAATTTTACTTTTACTTTCGGGTAACTTTATTTACCCGCATTTTTACTCTTTAACTGTCATTTTAACTCATTTTTCACCAAAGGTGACTTTATTTCTTTTACTTCTAATTATTCTTCGATATTAAATCCACTATTACTAGTAAGGGTTATTATAGTGGAGGCTGCAAATAATTGTTAGATTTGAAGTCAAGACCAGTTCCCTGAGTCCTCCTTTGAAAATTACTACCTCCATCAGAAAAATTCTGATTTCTTGGAACATTTTGCGGCGGAGATCTTTGATCATACCAAATGCCATTCACCAGCATTTGTTGAGGACGATCAGAAGACATCAGAGAAGGACATTCATTAGACTCATGATTGTCCTGGCAATATTCACACACAACAGCAGCAACTTTAGCCTGAACACCAGAAATCTGCATCTTATCAAGCCTTGAAGTCAAATTTGCCATTTACTGAGATAATAACTTATTTTCAGCCAGCACAACATCATTTCCTTCCAGCTGAAGAATACCTCTCTTAGGTTTAGATGTCAAACCTTCATTTCCATTGGCGACCATTCTCTCAATCAGCTCAAGAGTCTCATTTGCTCTCAAGGACTTAATAGTACCACCTGCTGCACCATTTAGCACTATCCGAATGTCAGGTGTACAACCGTTGAAAAAGATTCTCACTTGATTTCCAGCAGTCAAGTTATAATGAGGACACCTCCTCATTAAATCCTTGAATCTGTTCCAAGCTGCACACATAGTCTCACCCTCTAACTGAGTGAAATTGGTAATACCATTCACCATCTGATTATACCTCTCCATAGAAAAGAACTCAGCAAAGAACTTTTGGGACAAATCATCCCATGTAAGAATGCTATGTGCAGGCTGCCTTTCCAACCAATAAGAACCTTTCCCTTAACAACAAAAGGGAACAACCTCAACCAGATTGCATCATTGGATACCTGAAGATGTTTGGCTGAGTCACATATCATAAGGAATCTGTTTATGAATCTGTGAGGATCTTCATTCTCTCCTCCTCCAAACTGGGCTCGCTCCACCAATTGAATAGTGGAAGACTTAAGCTCCCAATTATTGTTACCAATTACTGGATGAACAATGCTTGAGTTAAGCCTATTAAAAGCTGGAGTAAGAATAGTATCCATCACTGGATTTTCTTCATCATTATTTGCTGCCATGATTGATGATTCAACTGATGTCTCCTGAGTCTCTTCAGACAGAGTATCAATTTCTTTGAACTGAAGCTTTTTCCGAGCAAGTTTTCTATTTCTTCTTTCAGTTTTTGCAATCTCAGAATCAAACAGAAATTCTTCAGTTTTACCTCGCATACAACTCAGGAAAGAGATTAGTAGTACTTTTCAAATAACACCAAAATAATAAAATAAAATAAAAATAAAAATAAAAATATTCACAAAATTCAATCTTAAAGATCAAGATTATATGATATACGAAACGCCAATCCCTGGCAACGGCGCCAAAAACGTGATGCTACCCAGCAAGTATACCGATCGCACAACTAATACAGTGATAAGAAAAGTATCGTCTCCACAGGGATTGTGATCAAATATCAAATAATCGTTCCTTTTAATCGTTCCTACATGTTGGGTTAGGGTGGGCTCCCATCCTCCTTAAAATCTGGAAAAAAAATTATTAGTGCTATTAATATGTGGTTGTCCATCAGTATAATGAAACGGAAAGAAAATGATTGTTTCTTGTGACTTGTGCGTAGTAACAAATAATTTGTCATAAATATTAATTTGAATGATTTCATGTCTTAGTTTTCTAGTTATACATAGTTTTGGAAATGAAAACATACCAACATGTCTTAGTTTTTTTATATCTAGAATAATTTTGTAATTTTATTATGTTCTTCCTAGCAAGCATTTTTGCATCCTTAACGTGATCATTCCATCAAAATTGGCATTATCTTTCCATAATAGTAATATAAATTTTCATCCTGTCATCTAAATTCCTGAGTCTGCTATTGAATCTCTCAATATATAAGTTTAACATGTTGACCACCAAACACGAATAAACTAGAATGGGATTATTCAGTTTAATTAGTGAGTTATTATTCCAGTTTAACAATAATTGATGAACGATGAATATCCAATTATCTTAACAATATTAGGGATATATATCGTATCCTAACTAGCTACCTAAGAATCTACTAAAGGATAAATATCCAATTATCCTAACAATATTAAACAACAAAGCAAGATAGAGTCATTATTCCAACAGAAAGAAAGTTGAATCATAATACAATTAGGAGATCTACACAAGCCCAAGACGTAACCCTTATAAATAAGAGGTTAAAAACCTCAAGTATACACTTTTTGACCTATTTACTATTGCTGTCAACACTATACACACACTCACGTCTTGGCTATAAACTTATTGCTTGCACAATGATTAGAGTGTTGATTATAAGTCAATCTAAATACTTATATTTAAAGTATTTCTGAACGTATACCATACGACCGTCTTCTTGGACTTAACAAAAAAACATTCAACATGTTGCACAAAATTTAACAGCTGAAAAATATGGTTGCTTAAATACACACTAGAGTCTACAGTAGTATTAAGAAACCCAAGCGGTTTGAGAATAGGTTTTTCACAATATCATTGTTCTATCCGGGTTGGCCACATAGACTTATAACCCACCGAGTGAATGCGTTCTCCTCGTCGTTGAATCCAGAAGCACAATATCTTTTTAAATTGCATCGGGACCTGCCATTATCTGTTTCATATCCTCTTCTTTCTTTTCTTTTCATATCTTTTTGTTCCCTCTTTTCAATGGGATCGGTCGAGTTTAGGATATTTTGTCTTCATGAATCCTTTGCGGTTCCTGTTAACACGTGTATTTTAAGGCACGATGCATGGTGGCACATGTTAATAAATGTCATACTTTGCCAAATTCTGACACTTCATGTTAACCATCGTCGTTACCTAGGCTTCTTAAAGCCCGGAGCATGGCATAATAAGCATATCACGGCGGTAAATGGGTTATGTCGGTCTACATGAGTCTATGGTTTAGCATATAATAAGTTAGGCTTGGGCCTATTATAAGTAGTAAAATAGAATAGACCTAGACTTTTAAAAATATCTATTTAGAAAACAGGTTATAGACTTTTTTTTGTACATGTCGAGCCTAAAAGCTTACAAGGCGACCTATATCATATTATTTATTTAAAATATAATAAATAAAATTAATATTTGATAATTTTGAATAATAAAATAATATTATTTTAGTTATTCATTTAATTGTTGAATGTTTAATAGGCTTAAACAGATTAACAGGCCTAAGTCAAGGCTTTTTTATTTTTTGAATATAAGTCAGGCCAGACTTGTAATATGAAGCTTATACAGACTAATAGGCCAGACCATACCCAATATTTTTTTATACAGGCTTGACCTATTTAAGTCAAAGCCTAAACTAACCTAGTTCATTTACACCCCTACTCAATATGATACACCGGTTCGGTGCGGTTAAATTGCACTTTATTTTTAAGGAAAATGCTATTTTGCATATGAGCGGTCGAATGTATCTAATAATGGATAACGATTCTCTGCAATTAGTTCTTTTTTTTTTTAAAAGAATCTTCTATCTTAGTGCATAGCGTACCTCTCTCACACCTTAGATGAAGATAGTTTGATAAACAAAAAAATATATAACTCGCAAATAATTTGGTTCCACGTAATAAGTATATGTAATTACTTTCAAAATTATTCTTTTTTACCGCTAATATATATGTATGCATTCTTTTTGTACTCAACTTTGTAAAATTAATTTATACAAAATATCATTGCTATTATATTTAAACTCAAGTACGTTTTTTCTTTTAAGTACGTACCCAGAATCTATATATAGGCTCATCGTTCATCGGTTGGCATACACTTAAACTTCATTGATTGTAAGTGAATTAGCCTAAAAATGACCATTAGTTCTGTCCCTAGCATCAGAGATGGTTGCATCACGGTGCGTGGCAAGGCTGTTTTGACTAGCGTACCGAGTAACGTTACCATCACACCCATAAGCAGTGAAGGAGCTTTTCTTGGTGCATGTTCACAAACTTCAAGTAGTCTTCATACCTTCTGCCTTGGAATTCTCAAGTGGGTACCCCTTTATGTTCATTAATTATTCTATTTTGACAAGTATGAATATGATTAATATTCATTCAACTAGTTACATGGTAACATGCATGAGATGAGATTAAAAACTAAGCTAGTGGCTGATTTTGTACTAGTTAGACCAAGATAATGCTAGATTTCAGTGCTAAACGCTTTTGAAATGGAAACTCTGCTGCAGGGGGTTCAGGTTAACATGTTTGTTCAGATTCAAAATATGGTGGATGATACCAGGTTATGGAGAATCAGGCCGTGACGTACCAACGGAAACTCAAATGCTTCTCCTTGAGGCAAAGGATGGGACCATCATCAATGAAAATTTCAGTGAGCCAACAACTGAGGGAACTTTCTATATTCTCTTGTTGCCCGGCTTGGATGGACCGTTCAGGACTAGTTTGCAAGGGACAATAGTAGATGAGCTTGAGTTCTGTGCTGAAAGTGGTTAGTTAGAAATAGAATAGGTAGTACATGAGGCAGTTTATATTTACAAACTTTTTTGTTTACAAACTACACTATGTAGGACTGGTCCTACATTAATCACACAGTGTACGACCAGTCCTACCTTTTTTTAATTGCAAAAAAAGGTTTGTAAACGGATCTTGTCCCGTACTATATTGCTCTTTCTTTTCTCTTATTTCCCGCATGTTTTACTACTTCAAGTTTTGTTTAATTCTAGCTATATATTATGACCTTTTAATTGCCTCAGGTGATCCCAATGTTGAAACCACGAAGGTAATGGAAGCAGTTTATGTAAATTCAGGGGACAACCCATTTAAGCTCATAAGAAATTCCATGAAGTAAGTCAGAAAAGCTACATAAAAGTTTGGTAGAACATATTCTTAATTAGGCATTCGAAACAAATATTTTGGTATTCTTTTGATTAAACGTACATAGCTAGAGAACTTACCTGTTAAACCATTCATCCATATAGGATATTGGAGAAGCATAAAGGAACATTTAGGCACATAGATAACAAGGAGGTAAGGCAGTAGATCTTATTCCATATATGATATATTAATGTCATCTAAATAGTGTAATGATTTCAAATCTGCATTAATTACAGTTGCCAGCACATATAGACTGGTTTGGATGGAACACCTGGGATGCATTTTACACCAATGTCAGTGCACAAGGAATTGATGAAGGTCTTAAAAGGTGCAGCAGACATAAAGGGAAAACTCAAGTTTACCATAATTTGATCCGTTGAAACCTGTTATAGATACCTCATTCATTTTTTGTTTGTAATACAGGTTCTCAGAAGAAGGATGCCTCCCAAAATGGGTATGCATTGACGATGGATGGCAAAACACAACACAGGCAACACTAGAAAACGGTGAACTACCAATTGAAAAAGTAGAGTGAGTATTAAATTTTTGTCTTGTAATACTTTGTTTCTAATGATACAAAGGTCTGCACACAATCACTTTTCATCCCACTTGCTAATGTGTAGACTCGGAGCCAGACTACAAAATCTAAAGGAAAATGCTAAGTTCAAGGGAAAGGGATGTGGTGATCTGCATCAGTTTATCAGAACCATCAAACAGAAATATGGGCTAAAGTGAAGTTTTATAGCAAGCACTCATTTTAACCAATTATTATTGTGAATTGTAAGATTGGTTTATGCTAGTTACTGTCACAATGCAGATATGTATATGCTTGGCATGCTTTACTTGGCTACTGGGGAGGACTAGATCCTTTATCTGATGAAATGAGAAAATACAACCCCAAGATTGAACCCATAGTTTACACCCCTGGCAACCTAAGCCATGTTGTTTGTGGCGTTGTTCAAATGTTGGAAAAAGTGGGAGTGGGATTAATTGATCCCTTGAAAATCGACGAGTTTTATAATGATCTTCATGGGTACCTTGCACGTTGTGGTGTTGATGGAGTGAAGGTAGATGTTCAGTGCTTACTAGATACCCTTGGTTCTGGTTATGGAGGGAGGGTTATACTGACTAAATGTATTCAAGAAGCTCTTGAAGAATCTGTTATGAAGAACTTTGGAGGCAATAACATTATTTGCTCAATGAGTACGAACAACGATTACATATTCTGGTTTGTCATATGAAAGCTCTTATTCAATTAGAGGGAAAGAATGAGTAAACCCAACATCTTACTGATTGAGTATATATGGTGCTTTCAGTTCGAAGAGAAGTGCTTCTGCTAGAGCTTCTGAGGATTTTATGCCAAATGAACCAACATTTCAGACTCTTCATGTAGCTGCTGTAGCATTCAACAGTCTTTTGCTAGGGGAGATAGTCATTCCTGATTGGGACATGTTTCACGTAATAAGATTATTCTCTCTTTCTCTTATAACATGTGTATATACATAGCTCAAGGTTTTCATCCATGAATACTGATTCATTTTTCAAGTTCTTTTTTCCCTCCCAATAAGTAGTCATTTTTCTTCATTACAGAGCACACATTACACAGCAGAGTTTCATGCAGCAGCAAGAGCATTGGGTGGTTGTCCAGTATATGTTAGGTCAGCAACGTTACTATTGATCAAAATCGAACATAAATGGATAATAGCAAAAACCTATTTACCCGTTTGATTTGCAGTGACGAGCCTGGCCAGTGTGATGTTAATATCATCAGAAAGCTTGTACTGCCTGATGGGTCCATTCTGAGAGCAAAACATGCTGGTCGTCCTACTCGTGACTGTTTATTCGATGACCCAGTTATGGATGGGAAGAGGTATGTATATTAATATATTATTATGTTATACAACTTGTGCCACTGCATAAACAATGTTATATAATACACATATTGCACTCATTGTGTACGTGTTCTGATTTGGCTCTTGTAGTTTACTCAAAATTTGGAACTTGAACAAGCTATCTGGGATAGTTGGTATATTCAATTGCCAAAAAGCAGGAAAATGGCCTCCCACACCAGGTGCTATATCCCTTTTAGACCCAACGTTGGAATGTTTAACCATTACAGGTTCAATTAGTGCAGCAGATGTTGATTCACTTCAGGAAGTTGCTGATGAGGATTGGAATGGAGACTCTGCAGTTTATGCCTTCAATTCAGGTGAATCAACTCTTTTTAAGTCTTGACAGCAATTCCATTCTGTGGTGGCTCAATTAATTTCTCTGTACAACCAAGTTGTCAAGTATAATATTTATAGAAATTTGACATTTGCAGGGAAGCTTTCTAAACTTCCCAAGGGAAGAACAATTGAAGTTTCCTTAGGAGTTCTAAAATGTGAGGTCTTCACTATTTCTCCCATTAGGGTAAGTTGAAGTTGTGCAGTGAGTTGTTCCTTTTAAGATTTTGGTGACATCATTTTACTAAGTAGTTTCGTATGTTGTGCTGCTTGTTAAGGTTTTTGGTCCAAGACTAGAATTTGCTCCAATTGGATTGGTTGATATGTTCAACTCAGGAGGAGCAACTGAAGCTCTTGGGAGCTATCGAAACCAAAGTGGATGTGTGGTAAAGATCCAAGTACGAGGATGTGGTCGTTTTGGAGCGTATTCCAACACAAAACCGAGCTATTGTCTAGTGGAAAAAGCAGAGGTGGACTTCACATACCATGCTAGCAATGGGCTTCTGACGCTTGAGCTTCAAGGTGATTGCAAATTGAGGGGAGTAGAAGTTTTTTATCAAGATTTTGATGTTACATCCTCCGAGGGCCTTAGCGTGCTCTCCGCTATTCGTCTTTGAATCATGTCCTGCGCAAGCAGTGCGCGATTGCGGTGAAACTACAGTAATCTGTAATAGGAATACAGTACACCGTGATTTGTGTCTAAATCGAATATCTAATTACTTTACTTTCGATCTCCGATGTTATAAAAAGCTGTCTACAAGAATAAAAAAAACGTTCACCTATTTTAAAAAACCATTATTTTTATAATTTTATTAAAAAAATAAGAAAAAGGTACTATTTCTTATGATTAAGCAGATGGAAAATAGTTGTATCTTTTGATTGTGTGATATTATAGACACAATCAATATAGACTCTATCACTTTTAAAAAAAGGAAAAAAGAAAAAAGAAAATGGTGGGGTCCATATTAGTTGTGTATATAACATGACACAACTAATTTTCTAGTTAACTTGATATAACTATTTCCTACCAAACAAATCTTAGGTTAGTTGCACTAAAAAAGTAACTTCGGTGGCGTTTGTTACATATTATTTTTGGATTCCGAAAAATTAATATTGAGAATTCTATTTATTCATTTGAAATTTTTTTTTGAGGATTTGATTTTCGCAGAATTCTGATTTATAAATAAATTGTATATCAAAATGACATCTAAGAATACCACTGGTATTCTTAGAATCCGAATGTTGGAAAAATTTGACATTCCTAATAATATTTAATAATCAACTAAATATATAATCATTAAACTTAAGTCAATATTCTCAGTAATATTTTTGCTTACCAAATAGTATTTTGGTCATATTTCTTGAAAATTCACCTTTCCAACATATTGTTAATAATCATGATTCTCAGGCAGAAAATTTCCTTTACCAAACACACCACTCACATAAATCAAATTATGATTACTATATTTTCTTTCTTTCTTTCGTGCCTTTCGTTTATCAATATGTGAGAGGTATCCATACTCAAGCATAAATTATGGGTATTGTAATTCTCATCTCGTCCAAGGGAACAAAAAATAACCACACACAAAAAAAAAAGAGTTGTAAAGAAAAAGAAGAGGTTAACGCCGTCACAAGATTTTGAGAAGGGATTAGTTTGTTTTTGGGTAAAAACTGATTGTATAACATTCTATGTTGATTGTTGAGACATAAATTTCAGGTAAGCAACAAGGCTGAAAACTAGACAACAAACAATTTTTTTAAAAAACCAAAAAAGAAAAAGAAAAAGAAAAAGAAGAATTTGGATTTTTTTTTGTAACTTCTATTTTTTCAAAAAAGCAAGAAAACCTTGTAACATTAGCTCCATTGAATCTGTAGCAGGCCCACTTATCCAATCTGATCTGGTTAGCAAGGAGATACGGGCCATGAGAAGGAGGGATTGCCCAACCTATCTTAAGGACTATGTTGTGGGCTAGAGCACCTACAACCCATTAGAATAGTTATCAATATTTTCAATTTGCATTTTAATTTCCATAGCTAGCAAAAACCGTATGATGTAACAGAGGATCATATAAGTAGCCCAAGGGCCTAATATGAAGATATAGATTCAGAAAATTACTTTCTCTCTTCTTTTTCTCTCAACCCTTCCTTATTCTTCTTCTAAAACCCTTAATTCTGTATTGCTTCCATTACATTGGTGCTTTCATTGAGTCATGGCAGAAAATACCAGACTCCGTGACATTACCAACCAGGTACAATCCATGACCAACAGTTGAGTACACTTGAGTGCACAATAGATCTGCGTTTGGAATCCTTTGAACTGGCGCAGAACCAACGCATTGATGACCAGAATCAACGCTTTGAAGGGATGAACCATTATATCCATGACATGTACGCTCTGTTACAGACATTACAAACTCAGATCACAAATTTGGGTACAGCGCCTCAATCCGGTATCTAGGAGCGGGACCGACTCGCACGCCTCCAATGAATCGCTCTATGAAGATTGACTTTCCACGATTTGGATCTGGAGATCCAAGTTCCTGGTTATTCGCTATAGAGAGGTATTTCCGTTATCACAAAGTTCCTGATCAGGATAGATTAGATCTGGTGTCTTTTAATTTGAATATGCCCCTTCAGAATTTGAAGATCCACTGGGTTCATTAGCTAAACTTCAGCAATTGCATTCTGTAGTGGAATTCCAATCTGCGTTTGAGCTCTTGGCCCGCAGAATCCCAGACCTCACACCACTCATGCGCAAAAGTTTGTTCATATCTGGCCTAAAATCCCATATCCGACGTGCAGTTTTGGTACATCGTCCATTAGATGTCTTTTCTGCCTTTGCTTATGCCAAAATCTATGAGGAACAGTTCATTGAATCTCGTAGTACCAAAACTTGGAACCCTCGCCCCAACAACACCACACCACAACCTATAGCAGCTACCCCATTAACCACAATCCCTTCCACACCCCAACCGAGAACCCCACTTCCACTCCCAAGTATACTGATCAAACGATTGTCCCCAGCTGAAATGCTAGTTAGAAGGGAAAAGAACTTATGCTACAACTGTGATGAGCGGTTTGTACCAGGCCACCATTGTAAGGGTCGTGCTACACTTTTATATTTAGATGGAACTGAGGAAGAACCACCCGATTGTGATGTAGAACCACCTCCTGATCCTGACCCACAGGAAACAGATGCATTATCTACTACACCTGCTCATGAGATTAGTTTCAATGCTTTATTTGGTCACCATTCTGCTAATTCTTTTAGAATGGTAGGTAAAATTGTGGGCCAATCAGTACAGATTTTTGTGGATGGTGGTAGCACCCACAACTTTATTACTCTAAGGATGGCCTCACACTTACACCTGACTTTACATGCTATTACTCCTTTCAAAGTGAGGGTGGGCAATGGTGATGCCCTCTTGTGTTCTGGATCATGCAAAGCCGTAATTGTGGACATCCAAACTCATCACTTTTCCATTGATTTATATGTGCTGGAATTACAGGGTGCAAATATTGTTCTTGGAGTGCAATGGCTGTCTACATTGGGACCTGTTGAAACAGATTATTCTGCACTAACCATGTCTTTTGTTATTAATGATTGGCAGGTCCTTTTACATGGGGATGCAACTGTTAATCCCAGCCACATCAGCTGTTCTCAGTTACACAAATTCATGCTGGATGATTCGATTTCTTCTTGCTTGATGTGTTTTTACATCTTAGTCACCTACCTCTGACCAAACACCTCATCTTCCGCGTGCTATCCCAGAATTGGAGAAATTATTGGATAGTTTCTCAAATGTATTCACTGGACCTTCATCCTTACCCCAGACAGAGCCTATAACCACCGTTCACACCTTTTTCCCAACTCCACACCTGTCCAAGTGAGACCTTATCGTTACCCCCACTACCAAAAAATGAAATTGAACGTTTAGTGTCAGATATGTTACGTGATGGAATTATACAGCCTAGTCATTCATCCTTTAGCTCACCCGTTTTATTGGTTAAAAAGAAAGATGGCACTTGGCGCTTCTGTGTGGACTACCGTGCCCTTAATGCGATCACAGTCCAAGATAAATTTCTAATTCCAACAATCGATGAATTACTTGATGAACTACATGGTGCCATTATCTTTTCTAAATTGGACTTGCGATCTGGGTACCATCAAATTAAGATGCATACTGATGATATTGCCAAGACCGCTTTTCGCACTCACCATGAGCACTTTGAGTTTGTGGTTATGCCTTTCGGCCTCTCCAACGCCCTTTCTACCTTCCAGGCTACTATGAATACTATTTTCTTAGCCTTTTTACGAAGGTTTGTGGTCATTTTTTTTATGATATTTTAGTGTATAGTCCTTCAATTGAGCAACATTTCACACATTTGGAAGCTATGTTAAGCATGCTGCGAGCTCACACCTTGTTCGCCAAGCGTGAAAAATGCTCTTTTGTTCAAAGCGAGATCCCTTATTTGGGTAATGTCATCACTGGCTATGGGGTCTCACCAGATCCTGAAAAACTTAAGGCGATTAGTGAATGGCCTGTCCCAAGTAATGTGACTCAAGTACGATCTTTCCTAGGCATCTCAGGCTATTACTGTAAATTTATTGAGCGGTATGCCTCCCTGGCAGCCCCATTAACGGATCTTTTATCACAATCTGGATTTGTGTGGACTACTGAAGCTTCCAAGGCCTTTGAGCATCTTAAACAACTTCTGATGACAGCTCCCATTTTAGCTTTGCCAAATTTCTCAGAATCCTTCGTGGTGGAGACGGATGCCTCAGGAGTAGGAATTGGGCGGTTTTATTGCAGAGGGAATGACCCTTAGCGTTTTACAGTCGGAAGTTATCTCCGGCAATGCAGCGCCAGTCCGTGTATGTCCGTGAGATGTTTGCCATCACATCTGTTGTTGCCAAATGGCGCTAGTATCTTTTAGGTGCCTCTTTCCTTATTCGGACTGATCACAAGAGTTTACACAACATGATGAACCAAGTTGTCCAAACTCCTGAGCAACAGCAATTCCTATCCAAATTATTGGGTTTTAACTACACGATCACATACTAAACAGGAAAAACCAATATTGTGGTCGACAGCCTCTCGCGGCTAGCTACCTGATGCAGGTAACCACACCCCTACCCCCCAAATAATGGCCATCTCTGGGCCAGAGTTCCATTATACCAAGTTATTACAGTCTGAGTACATGTTAGACTCCTATTCTAAACAAATAATACAAGAGCTCAGAAATAAACCCAGTAATGTAAATGAATGGAGGTTGCGCAATGGAATCCTAATGTGTTGAGATCGCATCTTCGTCCCTGAGGGTTCTTCACTACGAGCCCATATTCTACACGATGCTCATACATCTGTTCAAGGGGGTCATTCTGGCGTCCAAGCCACCGTTCATCGCATTCAAAGGAATTTTACCTGGAAAGGGTTACGATCAGATGTCAAAGATTATATACAGAAATGTGAAATATGCCAAAAACTGAAGGCACCAAATCACCTACCTTTTGGCTTATTACAGCCCTTACAAATCCCAACGACCCTGTGGGCACACATTACTATGGACTTCATCACCCATTTGCCACAGTCGTCTGGGTGTTCTGCAGTGTTGGTGGTTGTTGACCGTTTTTCTAAAGCTGCCCATTTTGTTCCATTACCAACAAGCTACTCGGCGACGCAGGTTGCCCAACTCTTCTGGGACTTTGTTGGCAAGCTCCATGGTATTCTTGAATCGATTGTCTCAGATCGTGACCCAATTTTTCTGAGTGATTTCTGGCGATCAATTTTTAAACTGCAAGGCACAAAGCTTAACTTTAGTTCCAGCTATCATCCACAGTCAGATGGACAGACCGAGCACGTTAATAGATGCTTCGAAAATTACCTTCGAGCTTTTGCTCATGAACACCCAAAGACTTGGTCCAAATTTCTGAGTTTCGCAGAGTATCATTACAACACCTCATTCCACTCGTCGACAGGGATAACACCTTATCAAGCGATGTTTGGGAGAAAACCACCAAATCTATTGGCCTACTGTTTGGGAGGCTCTTTCAATGAAGCAGTGGACAACACTCTTTCAACGCAGACAACCCTCATGAGTACATTAAAATCAAAGTTATTCAGGGCTCAACAAACGATGAAAGCTCAAGCAGACACAAAAAAGAAAAGATTGGGAGTTTACCGTGGGTGATATGGTTCAGGTGCGTCTCCAACCCTACCGATAGATCTCAGTTGCTCATCGGTCCTCACAGAAGCTCGCCTTGCGCTTTTATGGCCCCTTTAAGGTTGAGGAACGCATAGAACCAGTGGCCTACCGTTTGAAACTTCCAGAAATCACTCGGACTCACCCAGTCTTCCACGTTTCATTGTTACGGCCGTTTCGTCATGGACTTTACCCGCTGACACCAAGGACACACTTCCGGTTCACCACCCTACGGAACCAATGCCTTTACGAAAAGAATATAAAGGTCCAACGATTTCGATGATAACAAACAAGCATGGAAAGAAAGCTTCAAGGTGCAACCATCAAAAAGAAGTCTAAACAAGATCAAGACTCAAGCTTCAAGAGAAGTCTCTAAGTCTAAACTCAAAGTAATATACTGTAGGACTTAGGATTATTTGTAAATTGATTCGTTACAAGAACGAAGCTCAAAGTATTTTTCAAATACATGCATAAAATCATCGTTTGACATTCAAATACATTCTTAACATGAAAACATAGTTTTCAATGTTCATAAAATGTTTAAACAATATTTGAAAATAATGTGAATCAAGATAAAACCATTTTAGGGCGAAAACCAACCTTCAACAGGTTGGTAATCGATTACCCACTCACTGGTAATCCATTACCTACTGTACAGAAGACAAAAATAACGGCTATAAAACGGCTAGTTTGCGAAAATGAGTAGGAAAAAGGCCATGGGGCCCCTCTATAAATAGAGACTAATGTTCCCATTGATGAGACACACTTCTTGATCATTATTACTCATTAATTCTCATCCTATTTGCATTATTCTTGTCTTGTTGATCATAAACTCTATTTGAGCTTTATTCTTGTGAAGAGTGTCATATACCATTGTTCTTCAACTTGTGTTATTTGTACTTTGAGAGTACTTAGCCATTATTAAACACCTTCCTTTGAATTCTTGAATAGTTAGGGGAGTGAACCCTATACATTTGAAAGGTCACCAAATTCCTAAGAAAATTTGGAGTGAAAAATTGTAAGGCATCAAGAGCCCAACGTCTTGAAAAGTTGTAGTGGTTTGTCAAGCACCCTCAAGCTTGATAGTTAGTGAAAAGAATTGATCGAGTGGCTTCAGTCTGGATGTAGGTCACGGTGGTGGTGATCGAACCAGGATACATCTAGTTTGCAATTTCTCTAACCTTAATCTCTTTATTTAAGTATTGAAATTGCATTTTAGATTGTCTTTACATACTCGCTTGCTTACTTTGTTGTTTACTACACTTGCTCTTACACTTAGATTTTTTCTTATTAAATCATTTTATTGAAGAAATAGTCTTTAAAATATCAAAGGAGGTACTTTGCGAAAAGATTTTGTAAAACTCAATTCACCCCCTCTTGAGTATTGAAGCCACTTGTCCAACACACCCTTGTGCTATAGTCGGGTCACGTCAGATCTGGAGGAAAAGTCAGTTGGTTCCGCAAGTTTTGGTGCAATGGGAGGGACTAGCGCTGGAAGACTCCCCTGGGAGGATAAAGACACCATTTTTCCACAAGAAAAGGGGGACGTATCAGACGAGGTTCTCAGATCTACAGTGGTTTCCCCACAACAGACTAGGCAAAGGCACGAGTTGGACTCTTCACCGGAGTTCGTAGGACAACTGAAAAGCAAAAAGAAGAATACGAGAGTAATGGGAGCAGACCAGAGTACGAGGGTAGAGAGAGATGGAAAGGGAGTTAATGACACCACTAAGAGTCTGGCAGCTTTGAACTTCCCAAATCCCTTAAAAGTCACGAAGCTTCCTCAACAAGCTCAGCCCCACTCAGATCCAATGGCTACGATGACCTCTCACATGTCGGCAAAATCCTCACCATCCACATCCTCAGTTGGATCCCAGTTGGCACGCACTAACTCCACCCAGTTGTCCCTCACGTGCTTCAACCTTCGTCTATTCCAATTTCCAACACGAATCCCTCAATTGCTACAGCACATGGTTCCAATTCAGCTGGGCTTGAGGACAAGCCCATTTTTGGAGGCGGGAGTGATGTAGCAAGCCCACTTATCCAATCTGATCTGGTTAGCAAGAGATACGGGCCATGAGAAGGAGGGACTGCCCAACCTATCTTAAGGACTATGTTGTGGGCTAGAGCACCTACAGTACAGTCCGTTAGAATAATTACCAATATTTTCAATTTGCATTTTAATTTCCATAGCTAGCAAGAACCGTATGATGTAATAGAGGATGATATCAGTAGCCCAAGGGCCTAATATGAAGATATAGATTCAGAAAATTGCTTTCTCTCAACCCTTCCTTCTTCTTCTTCTAAAACCCTTAATCCTGTATTGCTTCCATTATAGAATCATTATAAAAGGGTAACTCAATTGGAGGCCAACTTAGTGAGGACCATTTTTGTGGAGAATGTTGAAAGAGAATCTAAAAGCCCACATAACAAACAGAGATGAAAAAAAAAAAAAAAGGCATTAGCAAAAGCCCACATCTCTATTAACATTGCGGTCACTATCATCTACCATTTATAAGTTTTTGTTTTATTTATTTCGTTTGTGATATTTTTGGCAGAAAAACCCTTCGGCCTTTCCTTTCATTTCAATCCCTTATCCTTTATTCTTCGTCTTCGACGTTTGTTCTAAACCCTTCACTTCACTCCTTCGCCTCTCGTTTTCTTACATGTCTATCACTGCTTCCATGGCCGAATCGTGCCTTCTCTCTTCACACTCCTCACTCTTCTACACCAAAACCAAAAACCTCTTTTTCTCTGCTCCCTCCAAACCCTTTAAACTCCAATTTTCGTGCCTCACTCCTTCAGCTTCACCTTCTCTCTCTCTAACCTCAAGAACCCATCGTTATCCCCTTCTCACGTTCGTGGCCCAGACCTCTGATTGGGCTCAGCAAGAAGAAGACAACACCGTCACCGTCGAAGACGAAGAAGAAGAAGAAGAAGGTTTCAACGAAACCGAAGCGGCTCTTTCGGAATGGGAACCCAGCGGCGAAGACGCTGAAACCGGTGAAGAAGTAGAAGGTGGTTTTGTTGAACCACCTGAAGATGCGAAACTCTTTGTTGGGAACTTGCCTTACGATGTTGATAGTCAGAAACTGGCCATGCTTTTCGAGCAAGCTGGAACCGTTGAGATTGCTGAGGTGAATGAATGTCTTTTGTTTTTTGTTTTTAACCTTTCGATTTTTAATTGGTGTTTTTGTTGTTGTGTTAGAACTAAAATGAAAGCGTGCTGGTGCTTGTTATTTTGTTAGGTTATTTATAATAGGGAAAGTGACCAGAGTCGTGGGTTCGGATTTGTAACCATGAGTACCGTTGAAGAAGCTGAGACTGCTGTGGAGAAGTTCAACCGTTATGTAAGTTTATATGATTAGTTTGGTACTAGGTTTTGCATTTGAATTTTCATATAAAACTACGTAAGGTTGAGTTCCATGTGTGTGTTTGAAGCGTGTTCTATATGGTTGCCAATTAACTGATGATGACAGGAACTTACACAGTTGAGTCCTTTTTTTTGTGTGTTTAATTTTGTTGTACTGTGTTATTTGTGTGGCTTTATTGAGATGGGATAAAAGTATGATAAAATGTTGCACTTGAAAGCGTCTTGTAGAAAATTGAGAAAAGAAAAATGGTTAATAACTTGGTGTTACCAGTTGATGTCTTCCTAAACTCAATGCTCGAAACATGGTGTGAACAAATATGTAATAAATATTGACATCATAACATAAATTCTGAATTAAAATAGACACATCAATGTTCCAAAAGCAAAAGCCAAAACTAGTCATTTATCCTCATTATATTATTTGTACAATTATTGTGGTATTTCATCCATATTCCAACAAAATTAAAAAAAAAATAAAGAATAAAAGTAAAAAGTGTAAGATGTAAGCTTGGTGAATGAGTGTCCAAGAAGTGTTTGACATGGATACATGCCCAACACCAGTACGGTCACCATTTGGAAGTGTTCTTGCTTCTTAGTTCTAATCCTACCTTTACTCCATGCCACAACAGAAAGGATAAATAGAAATTTCCGTCCTGAACAGATAAAGAGGAAGCTTGACATATTGATAAGTCTTTTTTTTCCTTGCTTTCTCGTACACTACAGTTAACCAGCTTGGGTAATTGCCACTTTTGTTAGCAGTGCAGACTGCAGAACTAATACTATAGAGATGCGGTGGTTTGCTCTTCCTAGATTTCTTATTAGTGTGTAAACTTTTTTGCATGTGCAAAGGGTTTTTGAGTATGACACTTTGTTTTCCTTTTATACAAGTTCAAATGTGTCTTCCATGTCATTTGCATGCAAAAGCACATCTGCGTTGTCATTAATATATTCTACTAATTGCTTTTATTTGTGTTTTTTTCGATCTTTTGGATCTTATCCATTTTGTATTTGACAGGATTTAGATGGAAGACTTTTGACTGTTAATAAGGCTTCCCCAAGAGGGTCTCAGCCTGAACGCCCACCTCGTAACTTCAGTTCACCTCGTAGCTTTGAGACTGGCTTAAGAGTCTATGTTGGTAACTTGCCATGGGATGTTGATAATGCACGGCTGGAGCAAATTTTCAGTGAACATGGTAAGGTTGTGAAGGCTCGGGTAGTCTATGACAGAGAAACTGGTCGATCCCGTGGCTTTGGCTTTGTCACAATGTCCGATGAGACGGAGATGAATGATGCCATTGCTGCTCTTGATGGTCAGGTATTACTCAAGTACTTATTAAACTACCAATGGGTATATGTACATCCATTAATAGTTAAAGTTGCCGAAAGGTGAATGGAATAGGATTGTCATGAGCCCCATGTTCATGAGGGAAATGTTGAGCTTGAAAAGTACTGCTTTTGAAATTTCCTGTTAGTGTGTGCGTGCGCGGTGGGGGCTCGGTGAAAACAATATACCAAAATTGAATTATGGCAACGACTACTTGTATAATTGTGTGTGGTTTATTTTTTTGGATGATTATCTGATATGGTGGTTCTGCTATTGCAGAGTTTGGACGGAAGGGCAATCAGAGTGAATGTTGCCGAGGACAGGCCCAGGCGTACCTTTTGAGTGGTACCAACCTCAAGTAATCCCCCATGTCAGCAGCTGGAGTTCTTTCTTTTGTTAATTGCTGAGGATATAGTGTCAATTTTTCGTGAAAAATTTCCTTCTTGGGCTGCCAGTTTCAGATTAGATTTACGTATTTTACTGTTAATTTGATGTCAAGATGAAAAGTAAGTTGTAATTCCGACTCCCGAGATTTTGAAGAAAGTCTTCTTTGCTGATTTTTCTTTTTGCTATTTGTTGCTATTTATGAAATGAAAAGGAGGGGGGTGTTTCTCTTGCAACTATTGTAGAGGTTGAGTAGTAAAATACTGCATTTAAAATTTCTGGCTTGTTTTGTGGTACTTAAAATTCAATTGGATAAATTGCATATTATTTCCACCGTACCCCGGCATATGATTCGGTTAGTTATTGGTATTTTTTTCCTTTTTTTAGATGTTAGTTATTGATATTTTATTTGAGGGAAAACAGCCAGTGATATATTGTTGGAAAAAACTACTTTTATGTTATTGGAGAGTAATTTTTCTTTCTCTAGACCCATCGATTTTTGTGTATTTTTTTTTTTTTTTTTTTTTGAGTGAGTAATCTCATCACATGGTTGTATCTATGGTAGGTTATTGTTTTTTATAGGGTTTTTTTAACAAATTAAAAAAAGTGACATATTTCAAAATAATTGTTTTTATTTTTCAAAAAAAATAGTAAGCCCCTAAAAACTATTTCAATGTTATTCTGAATTGTTAGAAAGAGTAGTTTTCACTGTTAAAAAAAAGAGAGTAGTTTTAGGGGAAAGAATTTTAAATTGAATTTTTTATCCTTGCATATTGCTCATCCTTATTTGGTTCTTATATGAAAAATATTTTTAAATTTGTACAAAAAAAATGTATTTTTAAATTATCCCTTCGCTTTCTCTTAATATTTAAATTAAAATTTTTCTTTTCATGTTTTGTTTCTAACCCTAATTAATTTTTTATTTGGTTACGTATATAAAAAAAATCATTGAGCAATATTTGATTTTAAATGAGATTTTTTTAATAAAGTTAAAAAATTAAAACTAAATATAAACTATACTAAACTGATGTTACTAATTAATCTTATATTTATAAACTAGTTTTGAGGGTTACTAAGCTGCCCCAAAGCCTATCGAGTTCTTCTATCTATGAGTTAATCTTTTGGATTAGGTTCTATTTATGAGTTTGAGTCAGAGAATTTTAGAAAAGGTAATTTTATTATTCCTTTTAAAACATTGATTTTTCTTTTTTTATAAAAAAAAAAAATTAAAGTAGTTTTCGTCATTAGTCGTTTAATAAGACGAGAAAATTATTATTTTAGTCTCTAAAATTTTTGATGTCAATTTGGTCTATGAAAGATAGAAATCAATTTAATCCCTAAAACATAGAAAATGACACCACGTTGATCCTTTTGTTACTTTTTTTTTTTTTACATCTTTTGTTACTTTCTACCCTTCTTTAATAATTGACTGGCCTTCATACTTGAGTACGTGACCAATATACTAAAATAAATCAAGTGTCATGACATTTTCTGCAAACATAACATCAATCTACCCTTTTTTAATATTTGGTACTGTACTCGAGTATATGGTGACCAAATCCCCTAAAAGTATTTGCCAACGCATTGTTCTCGAAATGTTATGTAGAATAAAAAAAACACACCTGATTTGGATACCTAGATCAAAAGTATGACATTTCGAAGTTTTATTGTAAAATTTCTAAAATTTTCTTTTACATGTCGGGCCTATAAATTTATAGGTGTTTTTTTTATATAATTGATCTGTTAGCCTATGTAGGTCTAAATTATAAATTTGGTCTGACCTATATTTTAAAAAATAAAAGGTTTGGCTCAGGTTTGTTAGCCTATTTAAGCCTATTAGCCCTTCGATAATTAAAAATAATAATTAAATAATAATATTATTTTATTATTCAAAATCATTAAAATAATAATTTATTTATGTTATTTAAAATAAATAATATGATATAGGTCGATATGTAGGATCAAGTCGGCATGTAAAAGAAAACTCTGGAAATTTTACAATAAAAATTCAGAAGATCATAACTTTTGACTCGGGTGTCTGAATCATGTGCTTTTTTTTATTTGTTAGAAAATAATATAAATCATTAAAAATGCTCTCTCAAAACCTTAAGGTTACCTATACAATATTCATGTTTCAAGCTCAAACAGCTTTTATGTGAGGAGATGTGTTAGATACTATAAATCATTAAAAAGGTCTTCTCCCATCATCTTAAAATTTTGGGTTGAGATGATTTTTACTTAGTTGAAAAAGTTGGTTCTGAGTTGAGTGAGCTTGTGATGTTGCAAGTAGATGGGTGTGTTATTGCAGCTTTGAGGACTCTAGGAGAGGATTCTGGGTTGTAGGTGACGAACGAGACTGTGTTCCCTTTGGTTTTGGGCTTTGGCAATAATGAACGGGGCATTTAGGTGTCGGGCCTAGTTATTGAAGGTGGCTTTAGCGATTAGACAGTGGCATTGATCGAGGTTAGGGATTGTGGTTACTGCCTTACTGGGGGTGACTATATAAGCAAGTGGGATTTAGGCAGTGACTCGATGTATGTGTAATATGTGCGATTATTGTTAATTTAAGCAATGACTGTAGATTTTGGTTTCTTTATAGATGGCGTAGATTTTGACATACAAGGGTTTCATTTTTCAGAGGAGCTGTGTGGCTGTTGTTACTACGAGAGTTTAGAAAAAGGGCAAGCCGTCGTGACAATAACCGAAATCACTGAAATATTTAACGTCCCATGTAAGACTGCTAAACAAGATATGGTGAAAAGACTAAAGTAAAATTTTCCATATATCTGAAACTAAATTAATGTTAATATTTTATAAAAAATCTTTACTAAAAAAAAACAAAACACAAAAACAGAAAACAGTCGCAGACATTTAATATCAAAATTATTATGAATCCATCCTGTTACAAGAACATGAACCTTTTACTATACAAATTCTAATAGCATGGGAGTACATCCAAGTTCAAACCAGTGATATCTGTAGCGTTAACCTTCCAAAATTCAGGTAAATTCAACTATACAAATTCTAACGGCATATGTATACATAATACATCCAAGTTCCAACCGCTGACATCTGAAGCATTAGCCCACCAAAAATCAGGATTTCGGCTTCACTTTAGTATCCTCGCAGTTGAGCTTCTCGACTAGTAAGGGGAACATAACGAACGGAGGTCTCAGTCCGTACACTGATAGAACCATCAGAATTCTTATCCACCACCTTTAAATCTTGAAATATGTTTCCAACAGGAATCACCATTCTACCTCCAGGCTTCAACTGGTCAATAAGTGGTTTGGGAATTTCTGGTGCTGCTGCTCCAACGTGAATGGCATCATAAGGAGCGAATTCTGGCCAACCTTGCCTTCCATCTATGTCAACACAACCAATAGTCAAATACTGAGATAGGTTATTTTACTTACTTTTTTTTCATGCCTACCACTTTTCAATATCATTAGATCAGAATTTCAATTAACCTTTATTATTTCTCTCTCCTCTTGAAATTCTGATCTAACCGTGTTGGATAGTGATAAATAAGGTAAGCATGAAAAAAAATAGGTAAAATAACTTAGTCCTATTTGAAATTATCAATCCACTAATTCAAAATTTCAAATAGAAGAAAATTTAACATAATCATACAGCTATAGGGGATCTAGTAGATGTTTCAATTCTCATGTATATAATTTTACACTCAAATCACGGAAAACCTTAACAAGAACAAATTTTTTGGAGCAACTCTAATTTCAGTTTTAGTGGACTCGATGACCTCAAAAAATTCACAAACCCTGACAATTAGGTTATATTTTTTCTCTGTTTATTCCATGGAATCAATATAATTTATAATTATTAAACCCTTTGCATTATGTCTTCATCCCCTATACCCAAAACAAGGACTAGATTTAACCGCCATGCTAAAATGAAAATCTTCAATCTTTCAGATTCACAGAGATTTCAGAAACCATACCACCAGCATGAACAGAAAGGGAACCATCTTTCAATAGTGTAGCTGCAGCACTTTTCTGAATATTCTCTATTGAAAAAGAAACCAATTCAGGAATATGTTCCACACCAACAGCACGGCCTTGGGGTCCAACCATCAAGGCAAAGCACGCAGTTAGATACCCTGTTCCTGAAAAGAGTCCCAAAATATGGAAATTGTGAACACCGACTGTAAGAGAATAATGAGAAATAGCGGAAAAAAAAACTGCTGCCAAATAGAACATCAGTCATTCCATATAGCAGATCTTAAAACAAACAAAACCTCCACCTTGAACTGGGATTATGCAAATCAACAGTAGAAACCAAATTGCATTTCAACAAACACAGTCACGGTTTTACATCATAGCATCTTCAAATTACATAGCTATGCCTATATAACTCCTCCAAGGAAGAAGGTTGTGCTAGAGGCTACTCTTCATCCACATTCTATTCAATATGGTGTTCACGCAATAATATCTAGTCTTTTCTACTCACCCTTATTGCTGCCATCAACTTGTACAAGTTTTACCATCTATCTCAATAATCAGTCAGTCTCATCAACTTAGGACAGTAACTTCATAATTTTACCAAGCATATCTATGCCTCATGAACAACTGAAAAAGCTAAAGCAGTTAGGGTAAAGATACATGAATGATTTTATATTTTATCCCTAACACGCCCTGGAATTCAACTTTTTAGTAGAAGAATGGAAACTGCAAGGATGGAACTCTCGAGTCTAAACCACTTGGTAATACTATGTCCTATGAAAAAGTTAATTTTCAGCACAAGATAGTGCCATGTGCATCCCACGCTCCCTTAAGCTATTAGGTGAAGATACATCAATGCTTTTTCAGTATATCTCATTATCTCTAACAACAACAAATCAAATTCACACAAATAGTAATGGAATACCTAAAAAAAAAACCCTTTTATTCTCTAACTAGCAAGCAACTTCCATTCCTCTTGAATGTGTTTGAATAAATTAGAAAAACAAGAATTAATTACGAAACAGGTTTAAGGAGAGTATATACCAGAGCCAATGTCAAGAGCATGCATCCCAGGCTGCAAATGATCCTCCAGCAACTGAAGGCACGTGGCATGCATATGCGGTGCGGATATAGTAGCATTGTACCCTATAGCCATGGGGGTGTCATCATAAGGTTCCGCTCCATTGGGTACAAACAAAGCCCTATCAACACTCTCCATTACTTCCGCTACCTTACTTGATTTGATTACTCCATAACGCTGCAATCTTTCCACCATTGCTCTGTTCTTACTCATCGCACTCCCAGAGCAAAATCTCTGTATTTTATTTTCGTAAAAATTAAATTCATTTTCGATTCAATAAATAAATAATTTTTTTTTTGTTTTTTGAAATAAAGAAAATAATACAGAGGACATGATTGATTACTTAATTAATTAATTACCTGCATCCTAAGGAAGAGAGTGTTTCCCGTGAGGAAATTAGGGTTTTGGAAAAGGGAGAGGTTGGTGATGATGGATACGGAAGAGTGAGGTGATGAAAGAGAAAGAGGACGGTGATGCAAAAAGCTTAGAGACACAGAATGTGTGCGTGTTGCATATGCACAACAGTAGCGGTAATCATACGCCAAAGCAGGGTAAGGAGGGTAGTAGTAGTTGTTGCTGTAGTTGCACGTACTCATTTCTACTTTTTCTCGATCTTTCTTTCTTTCTTTCCACACTTTTCCATTCACACGCTCTCATGCACACTCGTCATATACAGCCCACACGTGTCAACTCGTCGTTCAGGCCCGGGCCCTACATGGGCTTCTCGTTTGCATGGATTGGGCTTAGTTGTAACCCACCACTGAAGATGAAGCCTGCTTCCTAATGTCAAACAAAAAGAATCAGTATCTTTTACAGGAAACTTAAGAAGAAAGAAAACTGAAACAAAAAAAAACAAAAAAGAATTTTTTTTTTAACTAGCTAGCCAAGTGTGACAAACATGGAATAAAGTCAGAAATAATGCAAAAGTGGTGGTCCCAAAGATGACAGATCATAATGATTTAGACAAGCGAATTTATAAGAAAAAGTTCTTGTACATAATTTTAATTTAGAAGGCTTATGAAATTTTTATTCTAATATTTTGTATATAAATAATTAATAATACCAGGAGACATTCTTTAAAGCAAAAATAGGAATATTCATTATTACCATATTCCTTTCTTCCATCTTTTGAAAATCAAACCAGCCAATCACACTAAAAAAAAATTCGAAACTTGCATGTGTTGGGATAGGGTCCCTCAATCAACATGAAAGCAATTCGAAGAGGTCGACACTTTGAGGTCGGCTTGAAGTCACCAAGTTGACAAAATTACAATAACAAGAAAAATGCAAAAAAGAGAGACGGAGAGAAACATAACAAATTTTAACTTGAAAAACTTCTCTTAAAACAAACGAGTATAAACCACGAGACACTAGTTCAAAAAATCTTCCACTATATGATATTAGGATTACAAGAGATCAAACTTTCCTAGTCGCACTAAAGATACACTCAAGCTTCACCAATAATGGTGGTTACAAGCCTATTCTCTAAAGAGGTTTCACACACAAACTTTTCTTTAGAGGATAAACTCCCAAAATCTTAGTTAACCTAGTACAAAGGTTTTTATGTGTTTATATAAGGTTAGAAGAAACCCTACACCTTCCTCTAGAATATTTATCAATGATTAAGCGTGCACACGTTGAGCCATGCACCCATAAATGAGGTGCATGCTCAGCCACCAACATTAACACAAGAAACACACACATCCCAACAAATCTTCCCCTTTCGACTTTAATGCGTTGAGTTCAGTAGCCTGGCACCATCATAGCAGTCTTCAAATTTTCTTGCTAGTATTGGCTCAGTCATCATGTTGGACCAGTTCAGGTCAGTATGCACTTTGACGAGTTCAAGCTGTCAATCCTCTACCACATCCTGGATCCAGCGATATCTCACATCAATATGATTAGTGCGGGAATGATAGGTCGAGTTCTTTGCTAGATGAATAGCGCTTTGGTTATCACACTTCAGCTTGTATTTGTCTTGTGTATGGCCGAGTTCGTGAAGAAACTTCTTCATCCACATCATTTCCTTGCAAGATTTAGTGGCGACTATGTACGATCGGCCTCGGTCGTCGAAAGTGCCACATATGTTTGTAGTTTTGATTGTCAGGAGACTGCACCTCCTGCAAAAGTCATTAGATAACCCATGGTCGATTTCCTCGAGTTGGCATCTCCCCCCTAAATCACACATACGACTCGACACGAATGAATAATTTGTCAACCTGAATATGTGAGATTATTATGTGGGTTGGCACGATACGAGACAACATGATATAACATGAATAACTTATAAGAAAATTAATGCGGATCAGTATTGTGTTAGCGAATTGACACACAACATGACACAAATTTTTTCATGTCAATTTTTACTAACACAAACATTTCACGAATTTGAAAATGAGTTGAGCCGAATACATATTTTTCATATTGTGTTGAAAATTGTCACCTTAAGCACATATATTCTTGAGCAGTATTTAGCTCTGCATTATATAGATTGTCTTTGTGTGTTCGTGAACAACAACGGCATGTCACCTTGCATTGGTGCAAAAAATCATTTTGTGACTGAATGTACGTAGTGCATGCTGCTACAAATTTTGTATTGCTCCATCGCTTTTTATTCATTCTCACAAAGCCTTCAACTAAAGTTTTCTTGCCTTCCTTCGTTTTGAATGGCTTCATATAATTGTTGAGAATGTGGAGCCACTTCAAATAGGTTCATTGCCCCAGTCCAGAATACTATTAATCCGGCATGGGCTACATGGGTCCCTAGTAGTTTACCAGATAAATTGATAATTGTTGAGAATGTGATCAGTTGCATATCAAGAGGTAATTATATTTTATAATTTTTTCTTTATTACATTATTATTTAATAATTTTATAAATTAATTTAATTAATTATGAATAGGATACTCGTTGCATCTTACATTCTAGGCGAATTTATTTTGATGATCAACACATAGATATTGTAAACAAGTTAAAGACAGCCAAATCAAGTCTGGTGAGTTCAGCTTGCGCCAGATTTGATAAGTGTGTTGATTGAGTGATGAAGAACTAGTTACCTTCATTCTTCTTGAAGTGGATGCATGGTGACTTTTGGATGATGTTCCACTTCCACTTCAACTTGGACTTCCATTGACAGAGGCAAAAAAAATTTTAAGAGTGCGCGAAATAATAAATATATTTTTATTATAAATTTCAAATAGACGAAAATAATACATACTCACAATTAAATACTAATATGATTTTTTTGGGGGGGGAAAGGAGGTGAATAAGTGATCATTATGATAAAAAAATTACTGAAAAATTCATAAATTCACCTGTAATTTATTTTTTATCACTTATATCCCTATATTATTTTCTTATCAATTACCTTCTGTAATTTTTTTCCATCCAAGTCCACTTTTAACATTGTTAGTAATAAAACTAATTTGTCAATACTACCCTTATTTTATGTTTGTAGTTTTGTTTATCAAAAATTAAATCTGAACCTCAAAATAAAAATGGTGACAAAGTCTACTCGATTATAACTAGAAAATACAACATGTAATATGTGATAGAATAATAGTTGTTGGAAGGGGGACTGAAAAAATTTCACAGTACGCAATTTATAGCTAGATGTGACAAAATTGAGAAAACTACATTAACTAACCAAAAAAAAAAAAACAGTTATAAAGCATTGGCCCCAATATCAATATGAAAATTAAGACCTTTTTTTTATCTTTCTGCTCTTATCTATACAATTCAATATTAATTTTATATTTTGATAAACGATCTCTATACATCATATTTTTTATATGATTTTTTATATTTTTTTATATTCAAAAATAGAAAAAAATGTTGAGAGATATATGAAAAAAGTATTTCTATAGCCACTTTATATAACATTATCTACAACTACCTCTTTTTAACTAAGTCTGACTAGTAAGACATAGTTACAATTACCACTTTAGATAAGGTTGTCTATAGCTATCCCTTTTTAACTAAGTCTGACCAGTAAGACATAAAAATTGTATTATCTCTTTGCCACATTAGCCGACAATGTCTAAGGAGAGAGAAAAAAACAATTTTATTGTTATAACTATTTCTTACTGATCAAATTTAGTTAAAAAGGGGTAGATGTAGAAATACTTATATATATATATATATATATATATATATATATATATATATATATATAGGTAAAGAATTTCTCCAGTCACCGGAGATAAAATTATCTCCAGTGAATTCAAAACGACGTCGCTTTGGGATGGAAATCAAAGTGTTTTTGTAATTATAATATATTGTAGGGTTATATTAGTCTTTATCATTATAATATTTTAATCTTATAACCCCAAAACGACGTCGTTTTGAGCTCACTGGAGATAACTTTATCTCCAGTGACCGGAGAAAAACTTTTTTCTATATATATATGGGGGGAGAGTTCTTTTGACTCCAGAGTAAGACTTTTAAGTCTTACTCCCCATCTCAGTCGTTGATGGACAGAAATCAATGGTTGTCATTTATAGTGTAATTAATAATTAATTAATAAATATAACTTCCTAAACTATAACCGTTGGATGGACGAAAATCAACGGCTAGGATGAGGAGTAAGACTTATAAATCTTACTCTGGAGTCAAATGATCTATCTCCTATATGTATATATATATATATAACCTAAAAATATGGTATAAAATTAAAAAAAATATAAGTAACATGTAAATAATATTGTTATAATAACAAAAATTGAATAAAACAGTAGTTGCTTGCCAAACAATGAGAGATTGGTTCAGGATCAATTAAAGAAGGATTTGATCTTTCTTATATTGTAGAAGATAAAATTATTTCTTACATATACATAAAAATGTGTGAAATGTGGGGCCATATGAAGAGAAGAGAGTGAAAAAGAAAACATATGCCTCGTATATTTTTATGTGTGTATAGGAGATAAAATTTATTTCATATAACATAAGAGACATTGACTCGTAAAAAAACAAATCCCTTTATTTAAGAGTTACAAATTTTGAATGTTAGTTTTTTTGTGTGATTCTTTTTAGGATGTTCTGTCCATTTAGTAAAACCTTTGAAAGGGACAGATGTTCTGTCCACTTACTATCTGCATGCTATTTCGCTGGCATGCTTCACATGGGATCAAAATCCTTTAAAGTTTAAACCCCTCAACTTCTCTTTTTCCTTTTGATTTAACTCAACTGTAATTTGGAAAATAGAACTTATCCTTGGTAGGTAGGTACCATCTGATTGGAACCTCTCCTCATGCTTTTAATTTCATAAAAAAGAAATAATCAAAATTTAATTATTACGTATTAAATCTCAATTTATTCCTTAGATACTTTCAATATATGGATCCAATATATCAACCAAAATCTGATTTCCAGCCAACTTATACTTTTCTTTTATGATTTTCAGTCCTATAATTAAAATCTTCTTAAAAAAATTTAGGAATTAGTAATATTTTCAATTTTAGTTTGATAGTAGAGATATTTAAAATATATTTTTTGTATCACCATATTAAAATACTAATATATATGTATATGTGGAGGGAGGGGAATGTGTATCAAGAAATAGCGCTAAATATGACCTCCATGCATAGTAAATTAAATAGGGGTTATTCCAACTTAATCGGTAATTTGT